CGAATCTGTACGTGATCTATCCAGACAGGATAGAATAACATTTATTTGTGGTGATAGTTTAGAGTTGATCAATTAAACAATTATTGGTTGGATAGCTGAGTGGTTATATTTGTTTAGGTAATAATGTACACTTAAATTTATGATAAATTATAGAACCGCTATCTTACCCAATTACTTTGTTTTGGTTTCAATCGGGCGAGGGCGCGTATCTAACTCATCCAGACAGCTGTCCAGCAGTCCAAACGTAGTTTGGATCTTACACTAACCATACGCATTATTTTAGGTTTTTCGAAGCGGTGCACTGAAAACGATGAGAACGCAGTGCCTTATACCCTTCGTAACCTTGGTGAGGGTTCGAATTATTTTGCACTGCGAATCTTAACAGCAGTTACCCAAATACGCTGTCAAAATAGAGTAACTAACGCATACAAGGTAATATTTTTACGGAATTCGTAAACTGATGTAGTACCTTCGTTTATCGTGCTCGTGAATAAACTTTCGTTGCTTAATTATCAAGTGAAATTATTGAAAATTATTTTGTTTCACAACCAACGAACCCCTGCGGTTGTATTTAGTTATTAATCACAGTAAATGCTCTTGTTTTGGGGAAGTTGCTCTATGTGCTTACAAGTGCTAATAACGAAATAAAGCGGACACTTTTTTCAAAGTGTCGTGTTGTTACCCTTGAACGTTATCGGTTTACCTTCCTATAAAATTATGGTAAAGACAAAAACAACAGTTGTTGAAAACCGGTCATGGATGCATTGTTAGTACTGAGAAAACAAGAACAGCATTCGATGTGAAAAATGGGCCTACATTTTGCACATGCATTTAGGTACAACCACAGAGGACTCTGTACAGTAGATGGAGTTCATATCACGTCTCCACATTCTCTTGTGATCATAGAAGGTGTGAGTGTTACCTAGCTTCTATCGAGGCGATGGTCTATGAGTATGATTAATTACACAGCTAATACTTAGTGATTAATTGAAATCATTTATTAGAGCTTATCTTCTTATGTATGTTAGGAGCATGTGACTATGCAAGGGAAATAAATCCTCGAAATAAACTGTTCTGTATGTCCTCAACATTGATACGGACCTCATTAGTTTCACTGTACACATCCTAGCTGTAGGCGTTCAGTCACCCATCCACACAAGATCACGAGTGGGTACATAAAATTAAGCTGCGGCCAGTTGTAAAGCACTCTTCTTACACCAGATATCCAACAGAGATTCCACGGATATTTAGGATTCGACGACGCTTCAGTCTGTAACATCCTCATAATCGAAAGAACCTCATTTTATTCAGAGTAGAAGTTAGGAATGAAGGACTTCGAAGGTATATTTTCAAGGTATTCAGTATGTTGGGAAGCGTTTGATCTAATCTGGCTAGTTGTTGTGAAGGTTTAGAATTATGGCATATTCAAGGGTTATCTAGTACGGATGTGTAACCAAGTGTCATCCGGTAGCACCAATGACTTCAGCATCGATGTCCATAACTTAAATATTTCTTTTGATTTTATTTGCTGCTACACTAGTTTTGTAACTCTTCATATAATTAAGAACACCATCATCATCTAATTTCTTGTGTCTTTGGTTCATCGTGTTAGGAGATACTCAGTTGTCGCTTCTTTATCAAGAGCAATGCTATTTAACGCTCTTGGAAGTAGTATACGTCTATATTTCTTAATTAGGCCTACACGTTCCCTCCCTTTGAACTCTTCTATTCTTACCAGAAAATCCGGTATCCAATATCACTGTCATGAGCTTGTATAAACCGACCGCCTTCTCTGATCTCGCTTCTTGTTATTTCGGTACGGCTACAAGTGTAATGTAGAACCACGGATTTGTCATACCGAATGAGAATGTCGAGAACACAGAGTAATCATTTTCTCACGGTCATAAGCTAGGCAGATACTCTGGACTTAATAAATTTGATGATAACACTGTAGTGGCATTGGACCATAACCACACTATCCTCAAAGCTGAATACGAGATTACTCGGAAAATAGGTATTCAATATTTAACGCGAAGAAATACCTAACGATGGAGAGGGCGCGAATAATGGATTGAATAAACTAGAGTTGATCGAGTGGCATGGCTCGGCCATGCAGGCGTGGTCTCTGCTGAATGTTACCTTATATCTTCTTTTCATATTAAATATATTGTTCTTTCTCTAGCCTAACCTTGTTCTACATCATGTATTGGTAATTGATACGATGCAGTGGGTTGGTGTAGTCGATGGTGTGACTTCCACGTAAGATCTTATAGATTAGGCAGTCATATCATGACAAATCTACAAATTTAGGATTAGGTCTATTATTAGAGCAGTACTAATATCATAGTAGACCATAAGTTCTACAACACCATTACTATCGGAAGGGGTTTGTGGAGATTTTAGAAATTTTCACAGATTGACATCATGAGTCAGTCGAAGCTAGACCACCATTGAAAACCTGGAAGCACTGGACGACCGTTTCGTCCTAGTATGGGACTCCTCAGCAGTGCGCATCTACAATCCAGCACCCGCGGGATCGGAACCCAGGACCTACTGGCACTTAACCATTAGGAGTCCCATACTAGGGGGAAGCGGCCGTCCAGTGATTCCAGGTTTTCAATGGTGGTCTAGCTTCAACCAACTCATGATGTCAATCTGTGAAAAACACCATTACTACCGTTAGTCACGTTTTTATTCATTAATGTTTATTTTCATTTTTTCTATAACAAATGTATGTTATTATGCATCAATATTTACAACAGTAAATCACGTATCATGTCACGGTTTGGTCCTACGAACTAGCATGCCTCTTGTAAACATAGGACGGGATAACTGATAAATCATTGAAGTTCTTCCCAGGAGTATCAGGAAAGTTTTCGTGAGTTCCATGTAATTCGAGAAAACGTAACCTTAAATATACAAGACGTTTCTCTTACTGCAACTTCATACCATGGCTCTATCGTTAGTTTAGTTATCTAGGAATGTAATATTGCTCCTACAATAACCTCGGCTGTGCTGAAAGCTGACGCTTCGTGGAAAGACAAGAACTAGAAGTTAGAAGGTTGAAAGACAGGCAGGTAAATCATTTTTGGATCTTTTGAGGGAGTTAGGGTCGGTAAATCTAAAAGTGGGCATGAATGATGACTCATTCTTTACTTCAGACAATGATAACAAATGCCAGGGGTTCATGACACAGTTTGTTGAACGTCCTCAAAAACGATGTTTGTTATCACTCACTTACTATCTACGGTGATACTTACTCTATCGTCCAATATTTAGCTTTAAGAGACGATTCATAGTGAGTGATCTTAGATTGTGCTGCTGAAGTCACTAGGAGCTCCTTAAATGAGTTATTCTACCAAGACACAGACACGATGGAGATGCATTGGGTACGCAACTATGGTTTTAAGAACAACCAGTCCCTGAATCTGTGAATGTAAAGTAAATATTGATCCAAATGAAGGTCATGGACTCCGGCTGTGATTCGTTAGACATTCTTTGGTTTTCAGAGGGTCACCTCACGAGGGAACACATTGAACATAGGGTGATATCAGTCCTTAGGCGCAGCACCATCACCTTTCTGAACAAATTTCGCGATAATAAAAGCAGCTTACGGATTTGCTTACAGTTATTATAGCTATGCATTTAAACCATTACTAGACAACGTTTGTGCACAACCATGAGGTTCTAAAATTAGCGAAATATTGTTATATATATATATATATATATATATATATATATATAACGTGTTTGTTTATCTTTTGGAATGTTCTTTCGCCACTTGTATTACAAAATCTACGTTACACATTTGCTGAATGTATGACCTTGAAAATCAAGTGAATCGGACTGTGGTAATCAAGTATCTTCTAATGCACTGACCTGAAGGTAAAAAGGAAGATAGGTGATCATTGATTAGAGGAACGTATACTTGGTTGTACGTAAAGGTATAGGGACATGAGTTATTACGATAATGAGGAGTAGCCTAGTTGATATTCTAACTAAGAATCTCTATGATAATGCAATTTAGAGAAAATAAACCTCTGTCAATACAGCTGAATGTATGATATTTAGAATTCCAGATAAATCACTACTGTATACAAATATCACAAAATTTTAAAATGGCTATCTAGAGTAGGGAAAGGATTTTGTAGCATGTCGTGATTTTATCTGGTACTGATACCTTAACTGAGTGTCCTTAACTAGTCGTTGCCCTTAGTGAATCAGCAAATCGTAAACACAGAACTATAAATTTGGTAAAGAATATGGAAGAACGGGAAGTTCCCCCATTAGACTGGTAGTAATTCTCACCTTAAACTACCCCCAAGCTTATGGTCAATAATCATGCGTAGTGTGTGCACTTTTTGGTCACTCTATATCCTTTCTAGACTTATTCAATTATAGGTTGAATATTACGCATGATACTAGTTAGTGTTAGTTGGTAAGATAATTTAGAAAGAACTCTTACTCCCAAATAGGACTTATTTGTTTGAATCTAGTAGCAATTTTTACTAATTGAAAAAAGGCAATAAAGTACAAGGACATATGTTCATGAAATCCCATAGGACTCTGATGTGTGTTGATATGTCGGGCCGATCAGAAATTGGCAAAATGACAAGTATATATGACTGATCAAGTAATGTTTAACGTCTCTAAGGTATAAAACGTATACCATGGGTGGCTTGATTTTCCAACAGACAGATACATGTATGGATGAATTTACATACATGTCGATTCAGATAACTATGAGGGGTTTTCTAATTGCTTTCAATCTGCTCACTGAGGTAGCCGGTTAGTCTAATTTACAGGAAGATTGGGTATCCGTATCAAAATTTAAAACTAAACAACTCAACAGATTTTTGGAAAGGGAGGTGAGATAAAACTCTAAAATCAGATGTCACAATAGTTCCTTTCATTGACTTAGTGAGAAAATGACCCAGTTCATAGCACTGATCGCAATTTCTATTTTTAAATTCTCTTCATGGAACAAACAATTAGTGAGTAAAAAAAAACAAGGTTTATTCATCAAAGCAAATATTCGATTTAAATTCAAAGAGACAAAAGAACATAATAAATGTATGTTTCATGAAAGATAAAGTATGTATAAAATATACATGGTGATAATGAATTTATTGTTAATAGTGGTTCAGTCATTATAATTATACAACGTGATTTATTTGAAGTGTATACATTTCTTTTATAACTGTCAGTAATATGAGAATGTTCTATATATGATTTATTGAAATGGGTAAAAATTAAAGAAAAAATAGTAATAATAATAATGCTATTCATCATTATATTTTCATTATACACTGATGAGCACTAAAATCAGGTGTTTAGATTTATTCCATCAATACAAAAGAAGTTACCTATTATATGAAGTAATGAAGAAAAAAAATTATCATCTTTGTTTAAATTCATTGATTGTTAAGAAAAAAAACATTATTTCAGTGAAGAAATAAAAGAAGTTCATTGATTATTGAACCCTGTGACCGTAATAATTATTGTGCGCTTGTTTTAAACATACTACAAGCTGTTGTTATTTATGTTAAATGCATTGTAAAGAGACCATAAATAGTAGCAAATTTAAAAAAAAGATTTTATTCAGTAAATAAGTAGTTCAGACCTTGACTATATATATATTTATACTAATGAAGATTGAGTAAATTAGGTGGTATTTTCATGTAACTAATGAAGTAAATGGCAAATTTATTGACAAAATTGAATTAGGATTGTATTTTTTTCAAAAGAATTAAACTTTTCATAATTTATGTATTTACTTTTGGAAAAGAAATAAAGTATGTTTTATTTACAAAATATATATATGAGCCTATTTCATTTTAGTTGAAAATTGATTTTCGTTTGTTTATGAATTAATTTTTAAGTATTCGTTATGTTTGAAGATAATGAGATTGGAAATGATATCGGAAATCTTTACATTCTGAATTTTCATTATGAACAAATTCACCAAATGGAGCTGTATAATGATTTGTAAGAGTACTTGAGGAGACTGGACTTTGACTTACTGCTGAATACTGATCAAATGATACTTCACTAGCATTAGAAGGAGCTGGTGGAACACTAAGCATAAAATTGGGTACTGAACCTGGAAATGGTGCAGGTTGATATGTTGGTTGTAGAGATTTTTCGTTAAATACTTGAGGATTTATGTTCTGTTCATTTGAACTCATGAAATGAGCTGGAAATTGATTGAAGTTATTGATTGCCTGCTGAATATCACTATGATTGGATGGTGTCATATTATGAGTATTGGGTGGACAAGGTAAGATACAGTGAGATGGATGAGAAGCAGGTAAACAGTTACCATTCATAAATGATCCAGAACTTGCCTTACTGTTTACACGACTAGAATCATCGCTAATATTTAAAAGGAGTCTAGGATCACTTGAAACTGGAGTATTTTGAGAAAAATTTACAGACTGATTAAAACGTGACGGATTAACCTGAATGTTAGGATAATGATTTATTAGTTCTTGTCCTTTTGATGCTTGATTGTGTTGATTATCACTTGAATTGTAAGTAGATTGAATTCCCATATAAGAATAATTTGGTTTACCAGTGTTTTGACTATTTGAAGATAGCCTAGATGATGTATTTAAACTAGAAGATTTTTTTCCATTCTGTATAACATGATATGCTTCAGGGCTGAGTTCAGCGGTTCGTAATATACATCTTTCATTACTAGAGGATATTAAATGATTTGGAACACGTTTACGTCGAAATACAAACATGTAAGCAATTAATCCAAGAATAGCAAGCAGTAATCCAAAAGGAACAAGAAAATATATTAAAACGCGTCGTCCTTTTAAAAATGCTGAATCTAAATTAAATAAATAAGATAAATTTTAACATTTCAGTAATGCGATTACTACATTTGAACAAATTTACAAAAGGCATCTGTTATCATAAAACTATTATACATAGTTAGAAGTCTAGATCCATAAGTGTGTATCAAATCTAAGCATAAACTATATTGTGATATAAACTGCTCTATTATGTGTTATTTTGATTATAAATACAAAGGTTTCTCGTTTAAACGGTAAAGAATAATTAATTCTAACCTAAGTAATTACGATGCACTTTTTAAGTATTTTAGTACACACATTTCTGAGGCTAATGAAATTATTTTATTGATTAGAATTTGGATTCCGTATGAAAAAAGGCGTATATGGTAATACTAAACATCCCTAGACTACACACTAATCTTACTTCCAAAAAGGTGACCTTGATGAATCAGTTCTTTGAACACCTAGATTCATGAAATGTTTTTAGATCCTTTTCTTTTAAAATATACAAATCAAAACAAACAAATTATAACTGAAATAGAACTAAGTTCTGATATAATAGTGCTAAATTAAGTGTTATTATTTCTAATCAAGATAGAACAGGTTTTTGTACAACATTTTAATTTAGTTAAAATTGTAGATTCCAGATTTTAGTCTCATTTACTTATTAAATGACTAAATATAATTCTTGAGTTTGTGACTTTTTTTTGCGCTAGAATCATTTATTTGATCTAAAATATTCAATTAATTTGACCATTTCTTTATTTGAAAGAAAATATTTTTAATCAGAAATAATTTGGTTATAAATAAAAACTAAAGATATGTGAATTCAACAGTGAGCCAACCTCATTCATTTCATTGTATAAAGCTGTTTAAAAATCACGTAGAGTGCTATTGGTAGCCCGGTATCTGAATTCAATTCGATCGTTTACTGATTGTTACCACCAACCCTCGTATTATAATCATCGACTTAAATTGAGGTAGTGAATAGTGGGATTAAATAAGTCAAATACGTGAATGAATCTCGTATGTGTATTTCACACAATCATTGATCCATACCGATGATCAGAGAAACGAAGCGAGGAGAAGTGAGTGAAGTAAGACGAATCAGAGAAGGCATATGAGCTAACCCGATTTATTAGAGCGTGAACAGATCTTTATAGCCAGATAAAGATGGGTTACAGATATGTGGTGAGTAGGGTAAGGGATTAACATACATGCTCATATAAAAACAGTCAAGGTTAATAGGCTAATAATTGACAAGGTCAAAGTGTGACTCATGAAGAACGAATACATTGATCTGTTTTGAATCTAGAATAAGCCATGTGGGCGTGACATAGTACCAGCCACCACATGCTTATTGGACGGCTATATACACTCTGCATCTGTCTAGTCAACGATCTTGCTCTTATGAACGTTCTTTTTTTAAGTCATGCAATTACATTCCCATCTGTATTGTACTCGTCTTTAGTCATATTCGATTAAGTGTTTACAAAAAACGTGGTAGGTAGTGTGTGACAAGAGTATCGTATCATTAGAGTCAGTCTATCAAAGTCAACTTTTAAAAATACTTAACCTTACAAAATTAACAGTTGTTATAAGAAGAAAATGCTTTGAACTTACCTTGAACTATATTCACATATATTACAATATATTCTAAACTTTTAACATCTGACAAACTCATAGTCATAACAATATACTTTCCTTCATGTCGTTCTTTATTTAATGGTTTTTGAAATCGCAATTTAGTCATAAATAATTGTTCTTTCTTCTGATTATGTTTATTATTGTAATTCACTTTAGGCTGAAAGTAAATTGATGGTTTTTCGTCATTATTACTATCAATAATTTGTAAATGATTTGTATCTCTATTGGCATTTAGTGATGATGATGTTGGTGATGTTTTCATATCATGAAGACTATCTAATCTATCTGTATAGGCTGTTGTTTTTTCTACAATAGCAGGCGAGTTGATCCATGAACCTAAGATAACATAGATTTCATTTTGCTCAGTTATTCTTGCATTTGGTAATGGAATTTTGGTTGCACCTGACTGTTCATACATTAATTCTTCGCCTGGTTCAACTCGTTTTAACCACTAAAAGTTTAGTAGTTAGAAAAAAAAGATGGTAATAATATTATACATAGAAAAATTCTGTGAAAAACTGGAACTACTTAAAAGTAGTTTAAATTCATATATATATATATATATATATATATATATATATATATATATATATATATATATATATATATATATATATATATATATATATATATATATATATATATATATATATTTGTTTGGATTTTCCTATTGATGTTTAGGACTGCAACTGATCAGTCTTTTATTGGTAGGACTGAGGATGCACCTTTCGTAATGTTTGAAAAGGAGACTTGTGGTATTTTTTTGATCAACTCTAACTGCTTAACGGCAATTAACTTTTATTTCATTATTTGATTCTATCGTTTATTGTTTACTTTGGAATCACTGGCTTACAACCCTTATTTAATTCTAGTTAGTAGGAGGATATTCTTAATCACTTTAGCATCGCTCAAAGTTTATCCGTAAATTATAATCTCACCAATATCGTTAGTTAAGAAAAATAAAACTGTAACGCGCTAGGTGGTAAGGAGAATCTCGCTTATATTAGTTATCAAAAAAATTTACTTATCATACCTTAATCTCAATTTTATTTGCATGAGGCCAGTAAACGTGATAGTTTAATCATATAGAAGATTTTGTTTTTCTCATCCTCAGTTATTTCAAGAAGAAATCAATTTTGGAGTTCAAAATAGTTTCATGATCATATAATACTAGATCACTGACCTAAATCAGTAGAACACAATGGTAATCTATCGTATATTTATTTCAATGTATGTCTATTAGTTAATTCTTGGATTGGTTTACTTAAATCAAATGAAGTACTATTAAATACCGAGAAACTCGTCTCACATATACTACATTTTTTAACAAAAAAAAATGAGGATTAAATGGTTAAATCACATGAGTTTCAATCACAGGATAAAAGGTTTAAGTTTTTCTCCGCCTAATTTACCTTCAACAGCTGGTTATTACTACTACATTTGATTAGCTCACCTTTTACTTGCTTGATAGGTTACATTTTCTCGAGTCACATTATCAATGGAACGTACCAAGGAGTATAAATATCTTAAATTATAACGACTGACAGTATCTGATTTTCAAAATCCTTACTGATACAGTTGTGTTTGGATATGAAGAAACCATTTGGTTTATTGGTTTATAATTACTTACTAGACTCAGTACCTAAATGATTATTTGAAACTAAAAGTACTGCATTTTAATATTGGTATAAACAACAACATTTAGAATGAAGGTATATCCAACTGACGTATCCGAAATAGGATAGGAAGTATATCACAATTGATTGATCACTGGGTGGCGATCAATGTCATGCGTGTCTAGTACTTATTAGAGCAGATCAAATGCTATCGATCATGTTGTAATGTGGCCACCAGTCTAGGTGACTCGAAACTGCGTGCACTATATATCGAGATTATATGGTGGTTGGAGGTAGTCAACAGGAAACCCTGGACCCGGGTTTTGTGCTACTTGGCACTCGTCAGCAAGGTGTATCTGTAATCTTGAAGGAACTGGTGCTCCCTGACGGATTCGAGCCTGAGTCACTCAGCTTCACAGTCAGAGATATTATCAGTGAGCTATCCGGGCCGCGAACAACCTCTCACGCAGTGTCAAGTCACCTAGACTGGTGACCACATTACAACATGGTCGATAGCATTCGATCTGCACAAATAAGGACTAGACATGCATGACATTGATCGCCACCCAGTGATCAATCAATTGTGATTACATCTCAGTCCTACAGGAGGTTAGTCACGGCTCGGATAGCTCAGTGGTAATGTCTCTGACTGTGAAGCTGGGTGACACGAGATCGAATCCATCAGAGAGCACCAGTTCCCTCAAGATTACAGGTACACCTTGCTGACGAGTGCCAAGTAGCACGAAACCCGGGTTCAAGGTTTCTTGTGGACTACCTCCAACCACCATATAATAGAAAGTATATCCACAACCATACTACTAGTCATTATCAAACTTTAATTTAAACTACTTAAATGTTTGAAGTGTTTTTTTATGTTTCTTTTCAACATTAATAATTTTTTTCCTAATTACTTCTCATTTATTCTTTATAGTATGATTTTATACAATCTGTCGATAATTAATTCGTTTTCTTTTTTGAATCAATGAAACTGTTATTACCCTTGGGCAATTTCTATATTGAGAATGACACGTGTCTATGAATAAATAATCATTCTTATTGTATATTACTCATCTTCGAATTATCATCAAAATTTTAAGCTTATGCATATCATCTAAATATGTATCATCCTTTATAAAACTATCTTTTATTCGTAATTGATATAATGATTAAATATTCTCAGGATTGAGTTACTTTGACAAAAACTAATTAATTTCTGATTATAATGTCAAGTCTATTTTATTATTATTATAGCTATACAAATTCCTTATATTGTCCTGGATATGATACATAAGTTGTACAGTTACAATTAGTACTGAAACAAACAATAATATTCGATGTAAACTTTTAATAAAAAAAGATAAAATAATTGTAAATAAAAATACTTATTAAAATTAAATAACTACAAATTAATCAAAGTTAGAGCATCATTGAAAACTCAGAAGCACTGGATAACTGTCGTGTCTTAGTATGGAACTCTTCAGCAGTACGCATACATAATCATGCATAAGGGAATTAAACCAAGGATATTTAATTTCTGGTACACTGCTGAGGAGTTCTATACTTTGATAAGATGGATGTCTAGTGCTTCTAGGTTTTTTTTATTGGGGATTTAGCTCAAAATCTACAAATCGCCCATACTAAAATAAGATGGCAATCAGTTAGAAATCAAATATTTTTAAGATAATTTATTTCAATAGTTGAAATCATGAGTCAATTGAAGCTGGACCACCGTGGAAAACCTGGAAGTACTGGACGGTTGTTTCGTCCTGGTATGGGACTCCTCAGCAATGTGCATCCGCGATTCCGCCCCCCCCCCCAGGTCCGAACTCAGGACCTATCAATATCGTGCGCGAGCGCTTAACCATTAGACCACTGAGCCGGCATCCAACGGTGCTAATGTCTAACTTTCTTTCGAATTTTTAATGAATAAGATAATAAAATTTATATAATAATATAATAATTGTGTTACTAATTAATAATAATGACTTACTTGTATCACAGGTTCATCACATGCACATTTTATTCTAGCGATAACCGTAGCACTATCATCAGTTTTAAATGTATAATTCTGTACAGGACCAAGAATTTTTGGTGTAGCCGATGGTGGTTCTATAAATCAATGTAATTGAAAAAAATGATTGTCATTCAATCAATCATAAGTAAAATAATACAGGAAAATCTGACTTTCTTTCAAATGGAATCGAGAATGAAACTTTTAGCTAGAAACGAGTTTGTTTTGGTATGTAGAAGAGATTATCTGAATTAGATACTGTTAGTCATAGTTTACACAGTATATTCTGGGATTTTAAATATTTTTAGAGGCTCAACACTACAGTCACAGTATAAATTCATGAAATATTTATAAAACAAATGATCATCCTGTTGCCGATCTATGATAAGATAGTCTATTCTGTAAAAGACGTGAATTCAGAAGGTAAGCAGTCAGACTAGAAAACATTACTAATAACATTATATTATTTGAAAATGATATTAGACCAACATTTTAGCTTTCTGGTTAGATAGTAAGTGGGAAGTACTCTGGTGTTTCTCTTTCAGTAACAAATGAATTACTCGTTGTTTTAATCCATTTTTAATTCAAAATATAGCAATGTATTAATTCATTCTTTGAGTTTACCGACTAATAGTTCTGGACAAATCTTGATGTAAAATATTTTCAGCATTAATTGATTTTGTAGCATTTTGTTTACCATACAGTTTGCATCACACACTGACCTTTGTTAGACAACCATTGAAAACGAGTAAGCACTGATTAGAAGTTTCACCCTTATAGAAAACTCTTCAGCAGTATAAATTTACGAATCCATCAGGGTTCGAATGCAGAACCTTTAGTCACGATGCTAGTGCTCAATATCTAGATCATAGAACTTACATCCAGTTGTTTAGGTTTCTAAATTCAGACAGATCACGACATTGTGTAAGCAACACTCATCACTATCGGTAATATATGTCTCACGCTCAACATAACTGAACTTGAATGGTCACGGCTACTCAATGAAACCCCACATGTAAGTTCTTGCAACTAGTCATTAGTTAGTAGGTGCTTATTTATAATACATGGAGTTCGTATAGATTGTTGAATTTTGTCGTCAACGGCTATTAGTAAAAATGGATAGAACTAGCCAAAAATACACTTCGATTTTTTGAAATTTAATTATAAATAAATGTTAGTGACGATTTCTTTAACTGATCTAATATGAATTTTATGAGCTGTATATTTATATTCTCCACTTGACAGATCAGCCTTAACATATCAAGTTATAACCGGAAAAAATATTCATTAAGTGTCGGTTTAGATTTTGTTATCAACTTATGAGTTTGGATAGATGAATAACTTTAATAAGTGATGCACAACCAAAGACTAGTCTTGTAACTTTTTATTTCGTGTAATTCTACAATTGAGCTCATAGTCGAACATTTTCACAGTTTGTAACTACTGAAGTGATTTAGCCATCAAAACTGAAGTGAGTGCATTCGGTTTTGAATTTGTAACCCAAATGTTACAAGTTGGGAGCTATTTATATTTTGTGCAAACTGGTTGCCTATCATCTTAAAGCGCCGAAAAAAGTCAACATATTCACAGCTTCATCATAAGCAGAGATATATGGTGACTTGCAAAGGAATCTAGGACACCCGTTTCGTCCCATATGGGACCCATGAGCTGGATATACGCGAATCCCACAACTGATGTTCGCTCTGGGATACGAGTTCATAGCCTTTTGATTCAAACGCCATCTGTTATCCACTTATCTATGGAGTCCTGATAACACTTGGCTTGTGCAATAGGGTGAAGTTTGAATATTCTAATTGATGTTTAGCACTGCAATTGACCAGTCTCTTATCGGTATATATGCATCTTGTGCGAATTGCCTCGATATTGTCTTAATTCACAAGCATTATAATAGCAAAGATGGATGGAGAAGTGTGTTGGGATCGAGTCCCTTACCGAACATCAAATCTGGAATACATTTACATCTAGCTGAGAAATCCCAAATACAAAGAACCGCGTGTCCTGAATTCCACTGGTAGTTACTACCCATCCAATACAAAAATGAATTCTATTCACATTCCCACCTAACAAATATTTATTAATCCATAAGTGGTATTTTAGGAGTATTTTTTGTTCGCACTTTACACTGATACAGATAACCTGGAAATTTCGGGGAATATTTAATGGAATATAAGCCAGTTAGAATTATATACTTTTTTTTCTAACATGGTGGAGATTTAATTCAGATAATAGAAAAGTAAACTCTCCACATATTTTATTCAAGAGATATGAAACACTGAAAGGTAGATACGAGAATAGAGAAGTAAATGTTTTATTTTTAAACGTTAGAAAAGATTTTTTTATTTTGTGTACATTTCAATGCATTACTGACAGGTAGCTTTATTCAATAATATCAAGAATATTATTATTATTATTATTATTATTATTATTATTATTATTATTATTATTATTATTATTATTATTATTATTATTATTATAAACGTTCTAATCAAACTTCAATTCTTATTATAATTATGATGATTGTGTATGAAGAGAAGTTAAAGTGTGTAAACGAAAGATGAGTGGATTAATTGACAGACTGTTAAGAATTTAGAATTCCACTACATCATTAATAACAATAATAATAGTAATAGTAATAATAATAATAGCGAGTGAATGATGTTGATAATAATGAATAATACGGAAAATGACCCAGACATATATAATATAATATTCTATAAATAAAACAAGCATTAAGAAATATTCTTTTCTTCTACTTCTTTAATTTGTCCATCATTCTTTATCAATCATTATAAATCAGTAAGACATAAGAATAAGTGAATGAATGAATAAATAAATAAGAAACAACTTCATTTCTTTCTGTTTCTTGTTACCTTTTACTTATTTACTTGAATTTTCGTAAGCGATAATAGTTATATTTATAACTTTCTGGATTAGATCACAATTGATTGATCACTGGGTGGTGATCAATGTTATGCGTGTCTAGTCCTTATTAGTGCAGATCGAATGCTATCGACCATGTTGTAATATGGTTACCAGTCTAGATGACTCGAAACTGCGGGCATTATATATTGAGATTATATGGTGGTTGGAAGTGGTCCACAGGAAACTCTGGACCCGGGTTTCATGCTACTTGGCACTCGTCAGCAAGGTGTACCTGTAATCTTGAAGGAACTGGTGCTCCCTGATGGATTCGATCCCGTGTCACCCAGCTTCACAGTCAGAGACGTTATCACTGAGCTATCCGAGCAGCGACCGTCTTCTTGTAGGACTGAGATGTAATCACATTGCAACATTGCGACATGGTCGATAGCATTCGATCTGCACTAATAAGGACTAGACATGCATGACATTGATCGCCACCCAGTGATCAATCAATTGTGGTTACATCTCAGGAGGTTAGTCACGGCTCGGATAGCTCAGTGGTAATGTCTCTGACTGTGAAGCTGTGTGACACGGGATCGAATCCATCAGGGAGCACCAGTTCCTTCAAGATTACAGGTACACGTTGCTGACGGGTGCCAAGTAGCACGAAACCCGGGTTCAGGGTTTCTTGTGGACTACCTTCAACCACCATCTAATTTCTAGATTAGAATAACACTGTTGTGTATTAATTTTTCGATTTACATTTTAGATAGATTGTAACTTCTTACCACTTGTGTTTAAGTCATCTTATCTTTAAATGCTTCACAATTCATGATGACAATGACATTCAAGTTATACTTAGTTTGTGAGATATCTTAATTTGAAATATAAATACATAGCAGTACATTTAATTGGACAGAGAACATAATGAAGATATTTAATATAGAAATGAGTTTTTAAGCAATCAAACAAGATTACATAACATATCATATTGAAATTATTAATTAATCTGAACAACTTACCACTAACTAAGAGCCTATAAGTGTAATTTAGACTTCCCACTGAATTTGAAACTTGACAAGTATACTGTCCAGTATGTTCTCGACCAACTCGATCAATTGTTAAAATTGGTCCACGAACACCTTGACCAGTTGTTATCCAATCAGCTACAGCACTACCCATAAACCATCTATATTTTATTGGTTCAGTACCTTCAGCTTCACAATTAAATGTGACAGATGAACCAATAAGTCTCTCTAAACTAATTGATGGGTTAGTTTTCAAAGCCGTATCAGTAAAACATGGGGCTATATCAATAAAGAAAGGAAATTATATTTTTTTAGCATGTGGATTTGTGGAGATTTTAGTTATTTTAAAGTTGTATTCACCAGTTGATCTAAGTTTGTGACAGTGGATAAAATTCATTTCGTGGTCAGTGAAGTTCAATCCATTTCGGGTGTGAGACAGTTATCAACCTCAGGCAGTGGATGAAGCGCTGCTCAGAATTATGGATCGATGGAAGTTAGGCATCAACATCATTGGGGGCCGATTAAGTGGTTTCGAAGATAAGCGTTCACGCGTGAGACCGATGGTCCTGGATCCTAGTCCCACATGTGGGACCGTGGATGTGCACCTCTGAGGATTCACGTGCCTGATCAAAATGGCTGCGCAGTGATGGTCTAGCTTGGATCGACAGGCAAATCCAACTTTTAAAATATTTTTATTTAATTCACAAAATTCTACATTAAATGACTAAATTGCATGAACAATTGTCAGTTTTACAGAGAATAAGAGGGTAAAATAGGTCTCAAAACTTAGTAGTAGTTTGCGCTGATGATGTCGTTCAGAAGAACGACGAAAGCTCCACGATCAAAACATCCAGCTCAGAGAACAAAACTCTATCAGAAGTAGTCATTATAACATATTTCACGAAAGATTTTAAAATTACTCTCTATCAAATAAATATTCTTTGTGATAGTACAGTTTCTGACGTATTCTTAAATTCTTAAGTTTATTTTACCCTCTTTTAAGATCTTAATTTGTTGCATACTTATTTTATACAACATGTAGTTCAATAGCATCTGGTGTTATGGCACAAAATCAATTGTAGTGGTGTATAGTAGTTAAGCCTCTCTTCTCTTAACCTTGAGTTCTAATTTCATTTAATATAATTCTTACTTTCAGAATCTTATTTCCTATATTTAAATCATTGGTTCTATTATTATTTTAAACCGTTTGATTAATGTTTATATTTCCTCTTGTCGTATAGATATGAAACATGAAAAGTTGAACCAATGCCATTGACCACATGGTATTCCTTTTATTTTCCTTGTTTTAAATTACTCAGAACTTGTTGCATTTATATATTCTTTATTGCTTACTTTTACTTAAGTATCAACATGAGAATTTTTTTATAACATAACCATATTGTCTATATGATAAACAAAACTCTACATGAATTGTGAGAATAAATATATACAATTCAGTAATTATTTTTTGTATTACAAGTTTACCTTTTGCTTTGGTATTCTCCACATTTGGGATAGCACATAGAAGATTGACATTAGGATCTGTAATTCAAGAGAGAGAAAAAAATATGTTAAGTTGCATTTAAGAAATATTTTATAATGTAAAACTAATTGTTGTCAGTCAAAAAGGATAAATTGATTATCGGAGACTATTCATGTGATCGATGTTTAGAGTAATCTAATTAAAAATTAAATGATTGACATATTTTTAGCTATGAAAGTATGGATATAATTACATTGTATATCTTAAAAAGATACAAATCTTCAAGTTATACACAAAAGTGTCTAAGATAATGTTTACTATACTTCTTCATTCCAAACTTAAAAACTATGCAGAAGGAGTTTATTTTGAGTTTTGGGGTACTTGAATTGTATCAAAGAATAACAAAAAAGTAGTTTTAATTTTTTTCTAGGCCCTAATATGAAAACAGACGAGTTGAACATTGAAATATACATGACTTAGTCAAGACCTTAAGATTACTTAATTACACTAATAGATTTACCCCGACTAAATTTGTCACCTGTCAGTGCAACAGGTTTATGATGAAGCATAAATTAAGTTTATAAACTCATAACCAATATATATATATATACATATATATAGAATCTTTGAAAGTCTGGCAAATGTAAACTTATATAGTTAACTTAGGTTTCCCAACCTCCTTCTCTTATTAGCTGGAGCTCAATAATATAACGATATGGTGTATGACGTAAAGGCGAGGATTGACAAAGCAAGGACAGCATTCCTACAACTGAAGAACATATGGAACTCAAAACAACTATCAGCCACAATCTTTAATATGAACGTCAAGACAGTTCTACTGTACAGAGCTAAAACTTCAAGAACTACCACAACCATCATCAAAATGATACAAGTATTGATAAACAGTTGTCTACGTATGATACTCCAAATACGTTGGGCGGATACTATCTGCAACAGTCTACTATGAGAAAGAACAAACCAGGTTCCAGCTGAGAAAGAAGTTAGGAAAAGACGTTGGAAGTGAATAGGACACACATTGACGAAATCATCAGACTGCATCATGAGTCAAACGCTTACTTGGAATCCTGAATGGAAATAAGAAAAAAGGAAGGCCAAAGAACATATTGTTTCGAAAACTGGGAGCAGACATCAAACGGATGAATAGAAATTGTAAACAAGTGGAAAGTAATGCACAGGACAGAGTTGAGTACAGAATGCTTCCCTATGAGGGGTAACAAGTGTAAATAAATATAATGTATGACAGAACTTCTCATTAATTTTAGATTTAAATGAATTCTCACACTTAATGACCTCATTTTTAACAAAATCAGGATCATAATATATTTCATTTCATCTACTGATTTAAAATGTTAACTACGAAGGGTAAATTTAGATATTTTTCTAAAAATAATTTGTTATAGCTATATGATTGTTGTTGTGTTTTAATTTAACTGATATTGTCATTTTAAAGCTGAGCATTATTTCTTTTTTGTTTTAAATATCTGTTGACCTTTTAATGTTTATTCATGCTTATGGTCTGTATTTATTATTATTATTATTATTATTGTAATATAGATTAATCAAATGATAAATAAGTTAGATGAATTTTTCACAAGCAAACTGCATTATTTATTTTTATTTTGCTCAATCAAATTTGACCTAATTAACAAATTCGTGAGAAATTAATGGATGACAATCATTTGTAATTACTGACCAGTAGAGAGGTTCATTAATTTATAAACATCTGTTTACCTGTATTAAAGTACATAATCATTAATATTGTAAATTACTGAACAATAAACATTATTAACTGATATTCCAACTGAAGGTCATCAGTCTGTACTGATAAAAGTTTAGTAAATAATTTTTTTTAAAAATATTTCCAAGAAAATAACATAGTGGCTTCGTAAGGGAATAATAATCAGCTTGGAGCCTTGTTCAAAGGTTCTTTGTTCAATTGCTTCCAGTTATGTAACATCACTGATTATTGTTGAGGTTTGGACAATATAAAATTGATTTTGATTTGATTAGCAATTAATAAGTAATAAAAATTACAATACTTACACTAGATTAACATCTTAGAATAATCGTAATAATTAAGATTAAGTCAAATTTAGATAAAAGAAAGTAATTAATCGGATCTTATCAGGATACGGCCTGCTTGAACATCTGGGCTACGTGTTCCTGCCATCTAAATATTTCAACAAGTTATCTATTTCTGTTTGTTTTAATATATCATTATGTATATTAATCGCATAAACCTATTCTGCTGCGTTTGTAAAAAGTGTACAACCTTTCGTTGTCAAAGTTACAAAAAGCTCAATAAGAGAGAATGTAGTTGCTGGCAATATACAACGAAAAAAATGTACATTATTAAGATGTTCATTTACTGGACTGTTAACATCTAACTGGCGATCACTCAATATTTATCGCCAGGAGCGACCAAGAGGAAAGAAACGGAAACTTGTTGAAATACTTTGCGCTGAGAATTCTATATTGTACCAAAAATATAATATTGAATAAAGGTAATAATAATAATAATAATAATAATAATAATAATAATAATCCGAGTGAAGCAATAAAGGGAAATAAAATTTTGAAGAATTCAAGAAAGGAATCTAATTAACAATGTCATCAAAAAATGTTTCACGTGTTAAAGGTTTCATTTAGAATCTTTCCACAATTTTTATAACATAAATACTACAAGTTAAAAGAAAAAATGTCGTCTCCTGTCATCCGTTTCTACCATAAACTCTACTACTTATCCATAAAAAACTTGCAATCGATCATTTCAGAATAGTCAGTTTACAGTTACATCTCTCGTGAAAGCTGAAAATCCTAAGTAATATATTCATAAACAGTATGGACTAATTATTTACAAGTATGTCTTTAATTATTTATTGATATTTTCTATTAAAGATTACTTATGGTTACTTTGATATTCGGCGACCTGCTTGAATATCTGGGCTACCTATTCCTGCCATTTAGATATTTCAACAAGTTATCTGTTTCTATTGCAAAACCTATTCCGATAAGTTTGCAATACGTTTACGACATTTCCCTGTACAAGTTACAAAAATGTACAATCGAAGACATCATGTTGATTCGTAATATGCATTGAAAACAATGAATATTATTCAAATATTAACTTTTGAAATGCTAATATCTAACTGGTAATCACTTAAATATCTATTATCAATATCAATCAAGAAATAAGGAATAGAAACTCGCTGAAATAGGTTGCACTGAGAATTCTATAATGTACCCCAAATATGCTATTGAATAAAGCCACTAATAATAATAATGTAAAAGTTGATTTCCTTTTAATTACTTTATTCCATTCAAATTTCTATACCTAATTCACGTTACTTATAACTAAATATAAATTCATATTATTTATTTTAAATCGTGTGTTGATTTTGATGTGAATAAATGACAATATTAAACCATACATCATTTCAGTAATATGTTCAACTTCTAATCAAATAGTTGAAAAGTAAAATGTTTCAACCTCAAATTACTTTTCTATTATATAGTTGTTACTTAGATATTAAATATAAATTTGAAAATAGACTAAATATTGATTTTCTTCCATTCTATAGTCTTCAAAACGTTACCTTCTATGAACAACTCTATCATGTTAGTAATATACACAGTGAATCTTTATTGGATAATTTTTTTATTATTATTTTTAAAATAGGAACACAATATAGAATAGTTATATTGACGAAGACAACTTTATTTCAACATTTATTTTTATAAGGAGGAGAGGAAGACCAAAGAACACATTACGCCGGGAAATGGAGATAGACATGAGAAAAATGAACAAGAATTGGCTGGAACTAGAAAAAAAGGCCCAGGACAGAGTGGGTTGGAGAATGCTGGTCGGTGGCCTATGCTCCATTAGGAGTAACGGGCGTAAGTAAGTTATTTTTATAAGATCAGACAGTAAGAATATTTGTCATTATGATACGTTTAATAGAATTTGAGACAAACAATTGAATAATACTATAGTTTTTATTTAATAATTCAATTAAAATATTAAATTTTAGATCATCCATATCAATTTGTTTTTTGTTGTTGTTGTAATATTAGATTTCAATAGAATAATTTAATATGATGAATTCATTCAAAAATTCATTCTCTATGACTGATAAGGTTATCTTGTTTTGTCATCAAAGAACATTTCTTCTATCCTCGTTTCCAAATACATACATATATCCATCATGATAGACATGACATGCGATATATGATAGGAAATTGTTTAATGTTATAATCATTTGGAATATACATATTTAACATCATAGTTTATATCAGATGGAAATTTCCTGTTTGAGTTAGGTCGAATAATAATATATAAAAATGGTAGATTATTCTTGTCTGACATAAATAAGAAAAGTTCACGCAATCTCTTAAAGAAAACATTGATTAACCATTTATGTTTATTTCTGAAATAAATTGATCTTTATGATAAGAATGAAAAATTCATACCAAGTACAATTACATATGATGCTGTATATCTATATTCTTTCGTGATTGATTATCAGTATATTAAACTTCGTATGGAAATGTATGCATTCAACATTTAGAGATTATCCAACTAGAATTGGGTTTTTTTCTCGACAGAACTCATACTTATTGTATACACTCAATTTGATTATTATGTATATATATTCTTTATTCTCCTAACACTATTTTATTATAGACAATATGACAAGTATTTATAACACTATTCTACTGAAGTAATCAGTTACGAAAGAAATTTACTAGCAATACAAAAAGTATACTAGAATATATTTAGGAATAAAAAAACGGCCAAAAGTGAAGAGAGTCAACTTTCCTTCTCGAAATGCTCACACGAGGCCACATATATATAGTCATTGCCAGGGAAGTCCTACTCATTGCCTTCTCGAGGCGAAGGTGATGTCTGATAAAATTGAGAACAGGAATAATGAATATCCAAAACTTTACACAGTTTGGTGGATATAGCGAATCTACATAGGGGAGTTTGGAAACCCTGATTTCATACCAATGGTGTATATGAGTTCCGGAATCGTGAAGGAAGAAATAGAGTATGAACTTTATTTTGGTCATTGGTTACCATGGTAGTGCATCTCCTGACGTTGTTCCATTGGTTTGTCAATCAAACCCTTATGTCGAAGCCTCCAGGTGTGGCTCCCTAATAAAGCCACCTGCTTCGATCTGAGCACCCGGGTAGTATCTCAGCCCACACATAAATCAAGCGATTTGTGTGGCGTATATGTATTTGGTGCCCCTTTGTACAAATATTTATGTGTTTAAATAAAACGAATAAATCAATATGTGTAAAATATGAGAACATACATCTGTTAAACACCAATATTTCCCTTTAATAAAAAAGAACCTAGATCCTATAAATCCAAGTATTTTGTAAAGAAAATATATTGTAATTAATAATATTACCTACTTACTTACTTACTTACTTACTTATATATAAATTAATGCTGAGTCATTTGAAAAATCACACATGAACCTATGCCTTATTATTGTGATGATAATTTTATTAATAATATCCGTTTATCAATTAAACAATACCTAAAGTTAAAATACTTTATTATAGTAATTTCCATAGTTGAGATCATGAATTAATTGAAGCTAGATCACCATAGAAATTGTGGAAACACTGAACGGCTATTTCGTCCTATTGTGAGACTCCTCAGCAGTGTGCATTCAGGTTTTCCATAGTAATCTAGCTTCAAATGACTCATGATTTCAACTATTGAAATTACTATAATATCCACAAAAACCCCTTCTGATATTTTATTATATTTGTCTATAAAAAAAACTGGAGAACAATTTGAATAGATTTATTTCAGTTTGCTTATACATACAAAATATAAATTTTGGTATTTTAACAATTAGTGGAATCTTGGATGTGATTTTTTGTTTGATATGACATTCTTCAAATAGTTGTATTTTCATTTATGTTTACATTTATATTGGTCACTTAAAACTTTAATATATTATTCACCTGGATAGAGAGTCACGATAGTCATTAACTGAAAAATTCAACACATAGTAACAACTAGTTTAAATATGTTAAATTAACCTTTTCTAGTTAGTAAACACACTCGGTTGTGATCTAGCTTAGATCGAGTCATGAATTCAACTATTAAAATTACTACAATCTCCATTCTGGTAATAATCATATGATCACTAGTGACTAGCTTCAAGATCGGTTTCATGAAGTTCCAGTGAGAAGCCATGATCAGTGGAGTTGAATCCGTGTCGGGTAGAGACCGTCTTCTACTTTAAACAATGAATGAAAGGTTGCGAAAGATCATGGATCGATTTAATTAAGACATTAACACCATTGGATGCCGACTTCAGTGATTTAGAGATTAAACGTTCACACGCGATACCGAAGGTATTGTGTTCGATTCCTACACGTGGGATCGTCGATGCGTACTACTCAGTAGTCCTATACTAGGACAAGGTCTAGATTACATCGACTCATGAATCCAACTGTTAAAAGTACTACGATCCCCAAAAATCCTCATTTTAACATTAAAAAATGACTATCATCCCATTTTCAGATAGAATTTGATTCTCCATCCATAAATTACGTTGTTCATTAAGATTTTATTATTTATTACGTACATACTAGAAGTTATAGGATAAAAAGTGTGAATTAGTTGTTGAAAGAACAATATTTGTTCTTTTTTTTGTATGTGTTGACAAATTTACTTTTATCAAACTTATATAATAAGTACATAGCATAGTTATAGAAAATTAGTGAACATACAAAATTTATCAATCTATGCTATTGGAAATGTTCAAAAAAGTTTGAATTCAGTTCATAAATTCAACAATTAAAACTATGTATATTAGTCCTTAAGGATTATGCTTAACCGACTGATACGTATTCTAACTCCTTAACTGATACAGAATTAGAGTTGGAAGCAAAAAAATAAATACAAGAGTCAAGTTTCAGTAGAGTATTAACACTAGAAAGGAAGTATCTGCAGCTAAATTTAGTCAAAATTAAGATGGGTCGCCTATCCTTGATCTATTTTCTTGGTGTTCATTTGATTGAAATTATTATAATTTAGCACAAATCAATAAAATGATGTATAGTTTTTACTTACCTCTTACATGAACTTCAAATGTTACTTCTCGTTTTCCAAAACCGGTTATTCCAGAACACGTATAATTGCCTGAATCAGAAACTTGTAATGGTTCAGTAACTTCAAGGATACGACGTTGTTGACTGAAATGATAATGATTATTGGTATCCAAAGAATAATCATGTAAATCTCGTACTTTCCAATTATAAATAACACCAGTATTGTATTCAAGTTGATGTGTTTTAGAACTAGCATCATTATCATTGGATGAAGAGACTAGGCCACCAGTTGAAGTAATGTGAATAGGACATTCAAGACGCAGTAAATCACCAACTTGTAAGCGAATTTGGTTATTATGATTTACAACCATTGGTACTTTCGTATCTGAAAGCATTAAAAAACAAAATGGTTGATGGTAAATGTGGAAAACTCCAAGTTTAAGTTTCTGATTAAAACTATTGTTATGTAAAAAGATAAAAATCATCATTTGGATTCCTGTAATTTTGTTATAAATATGTAGGTATATGTAATGAGAGCTGAATTATATATGCATTTGAATATTTTTTGAACATTTTTATACTTGAAAAATAATTTATGCTATACCAGCTGAATATGTTCTTTTCTAGTTAACGATTCCCTAGGTATGTATACAGCAAATGCTAGGAAAGTCCTACTCATTGCCTTCTCGAGGCGAAGGTGATGTTTGACAAAATTGAGAACAGGAATAATGAATATCCAAAACTTTACACAGTTTGGTGGATATAGCGAATCCACATAGGGGGGTTTGGAAACCGTGATTTCATACCAATGGTATCTATGAGTTCCAGAATCGTGAAGGAAGAAATAGAGTGTGAACTTAATTTTGGTCATTGGTTACCATGGAACTGCATCTCCTGGCGTCGCTTCACTACTTCATGAATTAGACCCGTAGATCAAAGGCTCGTAATGTGACCCCTTAAGAAAACCACCTGCTTCGATTTGAACACTCAAGTAGTATTTCATCCCTCACATAAATCGAATGATGAAGTGTAGTGCATATATTTGCTGTCCAATATATCATACATATCATTTAGACATACAATTACCTTACATTAAATTTGACATTAACTCTGATAAAAACAATATAACTTTTATTAGTGTATTTACTATTACTATACATATTACTTGTAATAATAATAACTTCAATCTATTCAAATAAACTTGAATGACAGATAATAATCATGGACTTAACTATTTACTCAAAACAAGATTATATTCAATATAGTCAATTATTGTTTCATTGTTTTATTTAACTAATATTACATATAATTTTAAAATCATCTGATCAGATGTTTTCATTTTGACCAATAAATGAACCTTATATATATATATATATATATATATATATATATATATATATATATATATATATATCACGTCATGATTACATAATCTATATTAATACTAAATAAGTAATTGAATGCTGTTGAGCGGCCTATGCTCCTTCACTAGGAGTAACATGCGTAAGTAAGTAAGTAATTGACTAAAGAAAAAGAAAATAAGCAATGAAATAAGAATTAATTTCCTGCTGTTTTTTTCTTTGGGAGAAGAAGAAATTGTTTTTAATTTATTTTATTATATGAAAGAAGAATTAAAAGGATAATTTAATCTTGGAACAGGTGTAACCATCTATGTTTCTAATAGAAAATGTTAAAAATAAATTATTAATATTACTCATATTGATTAAAGTAGGTTTTAATAATAGTGATAATAGTAATAATAATAATAATGAATAACAATATTTAACATTGAATATTTAACAAATAGATTGATTTGTTTGTTTTAATTAGAAAAAAAACACTCCATATATGAATGAAAGAGAATTAAGTAAACAATCTTCTTAGAATTATGTGCCGCTGAGTTTAATTCAAAAAAGTTGATACTATTAATAATCATAATAGAGATATCCTGTTGATAATTTAATTTCAACTTATCTACGTATGTATAGTTTTAAGTTTGTGTGAGTGTGTGTGTTTGCATTTATGTAATCAAAAGAGAGAGACATAATTAATATTTTGATTATCTTTTTGCTATAGCCATACGGATTATAATAAGTTATAAAAGGTGTAAATTAATGGTTGTGAAAAGACCCTTATCTCAATAGGGGGTTAAATTCGTTAAATATAACAATGAAGGAACTATCTACATATATGTATAATAATTAGCATAGATTTTCTAATCTGTTAATTAGTGCTATCTTTATCATTGAAATAAGATGGATTTAATAATATTGTCTTGAATTGATGATGAGAATAGTAATTAATTTAAATTTTAGATTTGATTATGTCAAGTAGGCGTTAATCAGATAATCGTATTCAATTTGAGAAAAAGAGGACTTTATGTAGATGTTTCTTTTTGAATTATCATATATTTCAAAGGATTTGAATGAACAATAAAGGCGATATATATAAAAGAAACTTAGAAAGTTCGTTTAAAGTCATGTCATTATTAGTTGTATTATTTTATATGATATATTGTTTTCGTTTTGAATTCATTTACAAATTACCAAGTATTTTTTTTCTCAACTTTGATTTACACTCACAACTGATTGATCACTGGGTGATAATCAGTGTCATGCTTGTCTAGTCCTTATTAGTGCAGATCGAATGCTATCGATCGATAGACAAGCATGACATTGATCACCACCCACTGATCAATCAATTGCGATTACATCTCAGTCCTACAGGAGGTTAGTCACGGCTCGGATAGCTCTGTGGTAACGTCTCTGACTGTGAAGCTAGGTGACACGAGATTGAATCCGACAGGGAGCACCAGTTCCTTCAAGATTACAGGTACACCTTGCTGACTAGTGCCAAGTAGTACGAAACCCGGGTCCAGGGTTTCCTGTTGACTACCTCCAACCACCATCTAAATTTGATTTACACTGTTTGTATGAAGACGACACTTACATGTAGCAAAAATAGTGAAAGGATGTTTCTTCTTGAGGGACCTAAAAGTCTAACTGAATTGATAGTGACAGTCTTGTCGAATTAAGAGATTGACTCCAGACTACAAGGACCAACAGTTCAAGGATGCTCATACATGTTCTTTAATTTAGTGTTTTCAAAACTTGCCGTATGTGTATAGTTTTCAGTACCAATGATTTTTGTCTCCTTTTTTCAAGGAAAGGTAAGATCTTTGAAGATTTCGATTATTAGTGTGAAACACCTTACATATTCCTCACTCTAGTACAGTAAACAGTATAACTTTACCACATGGTCTTAATTTGATAACTTATATTTAACCGAATAACCATTACAATTAGCATAGCATTATTAGGGTTTCAAAAATACACTAGATCATCAAGTCAAGGTTGAAATCAAGGTCCGGGAAAGTACAAATAAATTCATCTAATGAACTACTGAGTAATAGAGCGTAATGAACAGTTATTTCATTCTCATTATGTGTTAATCAACAGTATCCATTTAAGATACAAAAAATCAAACTCTCAACCTCAATGTGTTATATCGAATACTATATCTCTAATATACTCTGTCAGAATTCGATCGATTTACACTTATCTCTTCAGTTAATTTGTAAATATCATTCAACCTCACGTCATCATCTTTTACAGTTTTCAGATGATGAAATTACATGGAAAAAAAACTATCATCAAGCTTAGATCAACATCAATTTCGTTTTCATATCAAGTTAACAAATTCTGTTATTCATAGTAATAATGATAATCATAAAAATAATAAGTTTACTTTTAATATACTCTATTTAAATTCAATGAATGAAACTAATATGTTGATTAGTGTATTGAAAACTTTTCATATCAATCATACAAGATTTAATAGATCTTACAAAATAGACTTTATAATGAATAAAATAAAACATAATGGAGCCACTATCAAGTACTGTATATTAATCTCCGGTTAATTAATCTACAATATTTCGAAATGTCAATCAGTTCATATGTATCGAATTGCCTCAGTAATATATATATACCATTTAAAGTTTAGACCGTTATAAACGAAAAATATCGATGAACAAAAATGCATTGTATTCACAATTATTTAGCAATGAAAATAATATTAGACTAGATTGTCTGAAGTTTCATACTGTAGACAGTTTTGACAAAATGACATAGAATCAGACAGGTAATTATTAAAATCATTGACTAACTAACCATATAACTAACTAACTGATTGACTGACTAACTACTAAATTGACTAAAAACTCAAATTTTTTTTATTATTTAGAAACAATGATGAATTAAATAAATGATAAATGATACAGTCATTATTATGCATTATGTTGTTTCATTTATAATAAAGGAAATTTTTCATTAGTCAGAAAATGTAACTTTATTCAGTAACATTTAAACACATACGTTTAATACTAAACAAATTTTTTTCTTATATAGAAGAGAATCATTCAAGTTTTATATGAATATTACAAGGTTTTCCTAGCTAATTCAGTTAGAAGGCCTTTAAAACATTATCCAATATAGGTTAAACAATGATTGTATACATGGTAGATCTTGAAAAAGTTTCATTCTGAAAAGTAATTTATTATGAAGTTATGATCATTAGACTTCTTTACTTGAACTCATTGTGAATGACTTCATCAGTTGATGTTTTTCAATGAAAATTTCACAATATTATAGCTTTCAGTCTGGTATGTATCAATGGGCACATGAAAAAATTTTAATCCTAGAAATCGTAGCAGTTCATTTGGGTTCGAGGAAAAGTTCACTAAAGTCGTCATTTAAAGCTAACCGAAGTTAAGAAAAGTGATGAACTATTTGATACAAACTCACCAACATGTGAGTGATCTACTCTCTCTCTCTCTCTCTCTCTGAGACCTGTTTACAGTTGATTGTAGACTCTTAAATACATATATGTAGGATGTCACAAAATAAAAAGTAACTTGGCTTTCGTAGGTTTTAATATATATACCATTTCATGTAAAAAAGACGATTGAGTACTTTGTTTGATAGCTGAGGGATAAGATGATAATGAGAAATAGCAACAGTCATAAATTTATAAATGAATTTCAAATCCCAAGGTAAAAACAAATACAGTAAATATTGTTGTTTATTTGACTTTAATAACATCGAAAACATTTTCATGCTAATAATAATAATTCTATTATATTTTTCGGTTCGTTAACCTTTTTCATGGTAAACAGAAATAGTTTGTTTTAATAGTTTATAGTGTATTGCGCAAATAAATTGAAAGATAGCAAGTAGGAGATTGTTTAATAAATATTTTACTCATATTAAATATAATTAGAATATTTGATTCAGAAATTAGTGGTATTAAGTTATGAGGTAGATATATGCCTTATAAGTAAAGATGGATGGTGGTTAGCAGTGGGATCAAGGACACGCGTTTCGT